TACCACTACTACTACTACTACTACTACTACTACTACTACTACTAATAATAATAATAATAATAGCAACACACACACACACACTTGCAAATGGTGAATTGTATAATTATTATGAATTTATTATGAAAAACTTTTATAGATTCCACTAAAATAATTATATTCGTTATAATTTCGGTGTATAGGTACTACTACTGCTGTGTATCTGCTACTACTAGTATAAAGAAGTAGCATGGAACTTTGAGTGTCAATTTCAAATGACTCAAAATAAAATTATCGAAAGAAGGGAAAAATGGAATTGTAACTCTTCTAATTTGCATCTGATCATCGATTATTAACCTTTTGTCTTGGTCTTTTGGTCTTTGTTATAAGTTTATTTGTCTTCGTTCACCTTTGTTTGCCTGTAAATTTATCTCTGTTATAAAATGCGATGATTCTTGGGGCTAAATTTTACGAGGTAGGCAGATTTTACGATCCTTAAATTAATACTTTGAGAGTATTATTGCGATACTATTAAAATTACGAGAGCAATTAAAATTATGTTAATGTCATTTTTATTATTACAGTGTAATTGATTTAAACGTTCACTTTGTTGTCGTGTAGTAGTGTTAAGTTGAATTTAAATTAGCGAAAGTTAGGCATAAATTTATACAACATATCCAGCGTCTCTTGACTATAAATATAAAAAGCCCGTTTAGGATTTTTAATGTGTGAAAAATATTAATTTCCAACTAATTCTCGTCTAATTTGATTAAAATAAAATAATAATAATTATTATTTCAAAATAATTATTAGTTATTAAAAAATGTCGAGATATCTTGAAAATTGTTTACCTTTTGAGCAAGCCGGCGATGAAGAGATGATGGATACCAGTATGATTAGTGACTATGATAACGACTTTTACACAGGTAGGTGTTCAAACTTCTCCAGAAGCCAAAAATCTTGCTCAATGAAGTTAAATATGGAAAATACCTTTTCAGGCATGAAGAGAAAACGAAGGTTGGAACTGTCGTCAGATAATGGCGACATGGATTGTGATGGTGAAGCCAGTTGTAACACACCAAAGAGAAACACGTTTGGAAATAACTTTGAAGAGATGAACAGTCCAAGCGCTGGGCAATTCCTGGTTAAAACATTTCAATCTCCGATGGTTGCTGATTGCTCGAGTGCAAAGAGAAAAAGGATGGTGGGATTTGAAAATATTCTCCCATCTCCACCAACGTCACCTGTGACATCTTTCTGTAGAGGTTTCAAAATTGGAAGGAGGATTCCTGATAAATCCCAAAATGTCCGGACTGATCCCAAATTAGAAGAGAAACAACCGACCAAAAAATATTTGCCCTTTCAAAAAAATTTGAGCTTAGACGAGCTGAATCTTAGAAGAAAAAACTTGAAAAGTGAAGATGGAGTTGTGAATAAGTTTAAGAAATATCGTTCTCAGGTGGATTCTATTAAAAAATATTTAGACGAAGAGGATGAGAATGCAAACCTGATTGCCGATTTCAGCGCTTCCTACATACTGCCGGTCCTTCAAGATGGAAAGCATAGCGACCTCAAAGCCATCAGCCACCAAACAGTATTGTCTAAATTAATATTTATTTACTAATTGTAACTGATATTCTCTGGCTTCCATGTCATTTTATTCATTCTTTCATCCATATTTATTTGTTTGATTTAACAAAATGAAAATATAAAATTTTTTAGAAAAAATTAAAAAAATCAAATTTATTAAATAACATTCCCAAACGTTTCAGCTTACAGATGTTTTACTAGGAAAGTACGATAATGTCCTTGATAGCTGCACCATAATTGACTGCAGATATCCGTACGAATATGAAGGCGGACACATCATGGGAGCCAGGAATTTCTACACGAAAGATTCCATCTTGAGTGAATTTATTCTGAGCAATGCTGGTTTGTGCACCGGTAATCAGAAAAAAAATATCCTTGTATTTCACTGCGAATTTTCATCTGAAAGAGGGCCAAAGATGTGCAGGTTTTTGAGAAACAAAGACAGAGAAATAAACGAAAATAACTATCCTCATCTATTCTACCCGGAGATATATCTTCTTGAGAATGGTTACAAAGAATTTTTCCATAACCACATCGATCTGTGCTACCCAGCTTCATACAAACCCATGTTGCATGAAGATAATTCTAAAGATTTGGCAAAATTTAAGAGTCAAACAAAGCCGCGGATTGAAAAAATTGAAAGAAGGTCCGACAATAAACCTGCCGCCAGAACAAGTTTGATGGCAAGAGGCATTGTTGGAAGAAAATGGGAAACAATTGATGAAGATGTCATTTGCCAACCGCTGAACTAATTTTTTTAGAGTTATTTTTTTATTTCAATTGATTTTTTTGTTTCTTACTTTTTTTATTTGTTGGTCTTTTTTAAAATAAAATAAATCAAAAAATGTTATTTCTAACGTTTCATATTCACTTCTTATTAATAAAAAGATCACTCTAAATTAAATATTGATGAAAAAAAAACTATTAACACAATACAATAAAATACAACGGAGCACAATACAATACAACACAAAAAATGCCACAAATGGTTAACACCAATCTACAAAATACTAAAATACGGTTCTCCCAACATTAGCCATGTAAGTAAATATCGTCGGCTGACTTGTCTTCAATCAATGATTCGGTTTTTTGCTCGGTTTAACAATCGATTTCTTTGAATTTTTTCTATCTTATCCACAATTTGTATTCTCCTTCTCTTTCCTTTTTTTCTCTTTTTCTCACTTTTCTCTCTTTCTTTCTCTCTCTCCAAACTCTCGCTTTTTCTTTCTATAACAATGATTTTTGACTAGAATTATTTCTTCGTAGTTCTCTCTCTTCTTTTGTCTATCTCTCTGTAAATTTTTAATTTTATGGCTAGATTAATTTTTCCTACCACATTCTTTCTCTCTTTTTCTTTCTTTCTCTCTTTCTCTCCCTCTCTCTTTCTGCACAAGTTTCTACAACCAATCAGCGCAATAAATTATAATACATTAACATCACCGACCACAACATCCACTCGTCCTAATAAATACTAAATTAATCCTCTCAGTAACACCTTTCACACTAATACAAAGCATTGTTTATGCTGAGAGAGAGAAAAAGAGGCAGAAAGAAAAAAAGAGAGAGAAAATGAAAGAAGGAGAGAGAGAGAGAGAGAGAGAGAGAGAGAGAGAAAGAAAGAGAAAAATTATGCATCGAAGGAAACAAATACTATATTTTTCATACAAAAACACGTCTCTGTAAAAGTTAGAAAAAACTTTTTAAAAAGAGAAAAAAGACAAACAAAAAAAGAGTTGGTTAGAGAAAAAGAGAGAGAAAGAAGAGAGAAGAGTAGAGAGAAGAAGAGAGAGAGAGAAAAATGAAATATTTTCTTAACTTGCATAAATTCACACAAGATTATGTCATGTAAGGTATAACGCAAATATTTTTGATAAAAAGCTTAAAGTAATGAAAGGGAAGAATTGATAGAAAGATAAATAACGAAAGAGAGAGAGAGAGAGAGAGATAGAGAGGGGGAGAGGAAGAGAGTTGACAAACGTTTATAGTACACATAGAAAACAACCACACAGACAACTCCCACTTAAGTATGCATATGCAATTATTCAACTCTATTATCATTCATTCATTTATTCCTCTCTAGACAATTCAAATGCTGAAAGATAGATGGATAGAGAAAAACTGAATGATGAATAAATAGAAAGAGAGAGAGAGTGAGAGAGAGAGAGAATTAACAAACAAACAAAATGTCTGGCACACAAGTAAGTGCAGAAACCAACCAACAACACGACGACGAAACAGCAATTTTTTGGAATTTTTTTTCATTTAACTTTCTGTCACCAGCAAACAAACCAGCAGCCAGCAGTCAGCATTCATCAGCAGCAGCAGCAGCAGCAGACGACGTGCGAGCGACTTCTTAATCGTCAAGTAGGTACAAACACATTTCGCAAGCATACGTCTGTCGGCTACACTCTTCTGAAATTACTATCTCGAAAGTACATTTTTATAATATTCATTTCAAAAGTTGGCACATCCCTGCTTTATTCGTTTGAATAGTTACACCTTCCCACAACGGTTTGATCGAGGTTGTTCAAGTATTCATTCGAATATTTACACATTCTTATGCTGTCGGATCAAAATTATCCGAATATTCGTTTGAATAGTTAGTTAACGTAGACACAACATTACAATGTGTTTATGTTTGCAGACGTGTGCATAAACATTTTATGATGAAATGTTTGAAATGATGAACAAAACATCGGTATACTATGTTTTGGTTCTTGAAAGAACTGAGCTGATGGCAAATGGTTTCATACTTACATAATTTGGATCACAAAGGCTGTACTACAATTGATGAGGCTGTACCAGTCATGTTTCATACACACTTTTGTATGAAACAAACACACGACACACCCACACGACACACCCACACGACTCACACACACACACACACACACACACACACACACACACACACTTGTATAGGCAATGATTATCACGCTGATAACATTCGAACCAAGGAAGCAAGGAATAATAGCATGAGACATGACAACTTTATCATTTTAGGATGCATACAAACGAA